CACAGAGCACCTTTAGGTGGAGGGACCCCTCAGAACCACTTCTGGGTGGATGTCTGACATTTCTAGAAACAGTGCTTTGGTTAGGACTGACCCCACCCTGTCCGCAGATCCAAGTATGGGCACCTGCGTCTGGCTGGGCCAATCAATGTTCATTCCCTCAGCCGTAGAGACTGGTTTAGAGAGAGATGTGCTCTTGGTTCAGTATGATGCTGGGAGGTTCTGTGGTGGCTGGTCTTGCAGAGCCCAGAGCTCAGGGCACACCCTCTGCTTCTGTGACGAAATTCTATTTGCTAGTGAAGTGCAACAGAAGCAGACCGAGCTGGGGGACAGGGAGAGAGTCTGTGTTCTGCTGGCAGGGTCTAAGCCCCCCGATTCAGCCTGATCTGAAGTCCTACTAACCCTGGGTTTGTTGTTACCTGGCTCAATACATTCCCAATGCTGCTCAGGCTGTTTTTAGTTGAATGTCATCTCAACTGGGAGAAGTCTCATTCAATCTTCTCCCCAAACCTGGTACTTTGGCTCAGGTTCCACCCCTCCCTAGTCACGTAAGCCCATCAAGAGCCCTCATGACTCCGAGACTTGTTGGCATGGGCCTGGGTTCAAAATCCAGAACTGGCCAGCACCATGGCCTAGTGGTTAAGGGGGCAAGATTTTGCATGGCTGACCACGTGTCAGCCATGAACTCCTTGAGATTGGGTGGAGAGGGGAGAGGAGAAAAGCAAACATGACAATCGAAGAAAGAGGGGAAGGACAGAGAGGCTTTGCAGAGCAAGAAATGCCCCTAAACATAGGTCTCATGGCCTAGAAGTTAAGGGAGCCAGATCTCACATAGTTGGTTCAAATCTGATCCCAGAGGCTTGAAAAACACGCCAGCTGTGTGTGTCTGTACACCCCAAGTTCCAATAGGATGGAGAAATGGAGGAGATAAGACTCTGGGGTATCCACACTCATTTCTCCTGTAACAGATTGGCAAAAACCCACCAGCATGACCACATTCCACTGCAGGGAAACAGCACCCATGCACGCAGCAAGGATGTCTTCCCTGGGAAGCACTTTTTTTTTTTTTCTTTTTTTTGAAAAGTTTTTGCTCTTGGGTGTGTGTACTCATCAGAAAGACAGAGGGAGACAGAGAGACAGAAAGTGAGAAATCACCCCCCCCC